AGTAATTATCACTTTGTTTTGCAGTGGTTAAAATGTATCACAACCTAATGAATTAGTATGAATTACGATTAATATTATTTTTAAAAAAGATGTAAAGTAAACGCTAAAAGTTAGAAGTTTTATTGAGAATTTGGTCATTTCATTTGTAACAATATAATCAGAATATGAGGGAAATGTAAGTGCGAAAAGAGTACTTAATAAAAAGTTCACAATACCACAAAGAATACAAGCTTTCATTTTACAAAAAATCATTCGAATTTCTGCAAAGAAGTAATTTACAAAATTTTTATAAAAAAAGTTACGAATTGATCATTTCAACCAGTCTGGTAGTTCTAGTGTTAAAGACCTAAATTAATTACCAAGTTCCGATTTAAGAAGTAATTGCGCTTTAAGCGATAACTTGGTGTATTTGTCATTCATCAAATACTCTGTAAGTGATAATTTGTTATTGCGTTTGTTTGATATTTATCCATTGAATACAAGAATGTATATTTTGGGAATGCTAGATCCCTCGCGTATCAGGTATTGAGAACACGATGTTTCAGTTACCTATTGGAGATAGATCGAGTCGCAGCACCAGACTACCTCCCAACAGAACAGGACATTCTTCGTGTGAGAGTGCCTACTACTGGTATAATTGAATATCCTTTTGACTTGGAAGAAATTCGATTTAGGTATGTCTCGCCATGCAAAGAAAGGAAGACGCTGCCTGTGCCTGTGATCTACTTACATTGGACTCTTTTCTGCATCGTGGTTGCATGCGTTGTGACTTACCGATTTCATCGTTGTACATGAGGCTCATCATTTGTCACGTTTCATTCTTTCCTACTTTTTCTTCACAATGGTATATTTCACGAGTTCTATTGATCCCTCTAGTTTTGTGACGTCTATGCAATTTTAAATTCTCAATACGCAAAATCTGGTGTCTTCTATTAACGAAGAGGAAAGTTTTATATTTTGAGCGTGCAAAGAACGTTTGCTTATTACACGTGTATGGACAATTCTCCAAAACGATGTCTTAAACACAGAAGTGTTATTCTTTCTTTTCCACTTACTTTAACAATGAGAATTACTCGCATCTCGGCTATGTAGATAATTCAGCGGAAAATGTAAATCATCGTGTTATCAGTCACCGTGTCATAAAACTGTAAGAATAAATCAATGAACTTTGGCATTATAGAAAATTCTTGCAGGCAGGGACGACGAGCATGTAAGCTGTTTCGCGATATTCCTCTCCTCATAATCACCTTTAATACATGCATGGCATGCACTATCAGACTGTGGCTTCGTTTGTTTTGCAGTTATCTTAGTGACCTAGAACGTATCGAAAAGCCTGACTTCCTTCCTAGCGAACAAGACATTCTTCGGGCTCGAGCTCCTACTACTGGCATTATAGAATATCCGTTTGATCTGGACTCCATCATATTTAGGTACTAACACACATTACTTGAAACTTCACTATATGTATAGAAATATACTACTCTATTAACTTAGTTCCGTACTAACTTGGAGTAATCAGTATTCTGGAGTGATCAGTATCAAAATACCAATATATATATATATATATATATATATATATATATATATATATATA